GATTATTATATATATATATTGCATATTACATACACTTTTTTAACAAATTTTGGCTATATTAAAATATTAAAAGACTGAATGTTGAAAATTGAAAATAATTGTATTTATAAATAACAACATGCATTCATTATAGGACGTGATATTTCTGATTTATTTCATTCCGTTTGCACAAATTTAAGTTGAAATTTCTTCTTTGTAATATCTACATTCGGACTCTTTAAATTGGAGTATTTTTATTACTAAAGACACAAGCATTTTGATTTTGTTTAACTCTAAAGTAGAATAAATTAATATCTACAGTTTTTTATTATTCCAAAATTATTTAAATACGTACATATTTTAAATTATTATTTAATAAATTCTTTTTTAATTAATATTTGTACAAATCAAATATTGACATTTTCAATATTTACACGAATTAAATATTGCAAACAATACTAAAAATTTCTAATTCGTGCATAAAAAAAATGTATAATTTAAAATCTGCTATATAATTATCCAACAATCTCATCGGTTAAGTTAAGTAAGTAGTGTTTAGAATCAAATATTATTCATATATCACGAAAGATTGTGCACAATATAATAAAAAGAGAATGCTGTTAAAAGGATATTATGGAGTACATTCCTTTCGCGGAAACAAGTAGGAATATTATCAATTCCCATTAATAAATATGAAATATAAAAATTATTATGTTTCTAATACATTCAGTATGTAATAAAAATGAAATGTGAATATTACATTATACATGAATGGCAAAAAGAGAATATGACTAAAAAATATTATAAATCATGGTATTGGTAATAAACTGTTCGATAAAATACTGTAATGAAATTTATAAACTTATAAATCTAACTAGTTACGTTATTATTTCAATGGTAAGAAGTGGTTTTTCTTTCTGTAATATAAACCCGCAAGTGGTTCTTCTTCTTGTAACATAAACCTCCACTGGTTGAGATTAATTTTTGTTGATTAACATGCGAGTGACTTCAAAAGAATCGGTAGAAATATCACGATCGTAACATTTAATTAAGTATAAAGATATCATTAGCAAATGAATAAAAAATTTTCCTAAAAATTTTATAAACAACACATAAATACATTTTCTTTATTAGATTTTTTCTTTTAGATTAACTAATATTATAGTAATTTTATGTTTGTAAAATATAACATACTATTCATTTTTATATTATATGTTATATTGTAAATTATATATAAAATATTATTAAAAAATATTCCTATATGAAAGTAACTATCCAATTCTATTTTATTCAGAAGTTCCCCCAAAACTTTCGATATAAAACATCTAACAATAAGTTCCATTTGATACAAAAAGTTTCCTAAAATAGTTTTTCACATATTTTATATATTATATATAAAATATAATGAACCATACATTCATTTCTATATTATATATTATATACTACATTAGTAAAAATGTCCCTATAAGAGAATAACTACGTTCAATTCTATTCTGTTGAAAAATTCCATATATATAGTATACTACTATTGTCTACAACAAAGTAAAAATTTTTATCTGCAGATTTCGTTGATATCGTAATAACTGATAATGTTTTATTCTTTCTAGCTAGACCTTTCTCGTAACAGTCTACAAAGGATATAATCCACTCATCGGAAAAAAGAAACGCAAAGCGTATCGCGTACGATTATATGAAAAAAGGTTACTCACTAGGCCTCAAAAATTGAATACTGTTTGCCAAACATTAAGACAGATTTCGAACGAACCTCTTGATAAAATATAGATAAGTGATTTACGTTACTCTTTCTTTATTTTGCATTGTGTATGAATTAACTATCATGTAACACTTCACGTTTTGGTGAAAAAATAATGGTAGAATGACAAAGAAGTGAAAACTATACACAATACGAACGGTAAGAGCGTACACGCGTTACTAGCGGTAGAAGCGCGTTCCGCGTTTCAAGCTCGAGATGCCGGCGGCGCCATGACACTTGTCTGAGTCAGCGAATGGGGGAGAAGGAAGTCGCAGAGTGGGGATAACAGACAACTCACGCGCAAACGCGCGCCAAATTCGTTTCTAGATATTCTCGAAAGTTGTTACATATTTATTGGGTTGATGGAAAAATAAATTTTTGATTATGTTACAAAAATCTTCAGAATTTTGAATGGTATATTGATCCATAACTCTATTCTCTGCCATGATGCGTTTTAATGATTTGAAAGAATATAATCAACTTTTTGTAAATGTAAAATACTATTTTATGAAAATTAGTAATAGATTAACTTATGTCATTATGATTTCCAGCTCTTTAAATGTATTATGTAGTTCAAAACGTATCCAAACATTTATCATAGAAAACTTTTATAGATGTATTATGTGTGTAATACGAAATATTTTAAAATTTTATTATTAATGAATAAGATACGATTATACTGATAAAATTTTTGGGAAAATTTATTGTGACTGTACATTTAGTACAAAATTACTATACAATTAGTAGATGATATATATTTAATACTGCTAAAACTGTCCTAAAATTAATAAATTGAGTACACAAATACTATTTTCAGATTCGTTTCAGACTTAAATTAGTAATGATAGATAGAATTAAAAATCGTATATCATTATAATGCTAATGTTTCAAAATGTTTCGTATGACACACACAGTAGATAATATATTCATTTCAAAAATTTGTTACAACAATTAATAACTGTTACGATAATTTCACTTGGTGTGAAGCAAGTTCAATTCTTGTGTCTCTAAAAATATGTCTGCTCTTTATTTCATGCGGATTCGTAGAAGCAATTTCTATAGAGTTATTGATTTCGGAATGAATGTTCTGACGAGTGTGATATCTTGCTTGAAGGGTAGTCTACACATGTCGGAAATACAGGCGTAGTTTTAAATGGATGAGACATAGCTTTATCCGTCATATAATAGTGTCTCTTGCAAATCCTGACGTATTTTATAAATGTATACGTTAAAATAATTCCATTTAATCCATTTATTGTTCGATAAGCAAATTCTTCGAGAAAAAACATATTTTTTAAAGTACGTAACAATATGTTAAAATGAATAAAAAAATAATATAAAATAATTGTATTTATTTCATATTTAAGATTCTTAGAATTTAATAATAAATATATTCATTTTATGAGAATATTACTTTTTATTTTTACTTCATATCTTTTTTTGAATAAAATATATATCCTTTAGTGATTGTGTCTAATTATTCTTCCCTAGATATTCTTATTACAATATTATTATTGTTAGTTCAATAACATTAATAATTTTCTCGTCCTTTAAAAGCTTCCATTTTATATATTAATATTAATATAAATAGAAAAACGTTTGGCAATAAGAATTATCAATACTAATACGAAAATATACTACATAATTGTACTGAATTTATAGACTACTAAATTCAAAACATGCTTGAGGATATATCATGCATTTAAAGTGAAACAGCCAATAATTAATTATATATAAAATATAATTATTATATAAAAGTAATTAAATATATTTTATTACTTTTTACAAAATATTGTATTAAATTATATCATTTAACTAATAACTTTTTTCTTAGATATTTGAAAACTAATGTGTAAAATTAATATTTGCAAGTTCTTTTCAAATACTGATTAATTATTCGTCTAATAAAAATAATAAAAATCCAATTAAAATATAAAATAATACAGAATTTTTACTAAACGTTGCTCAAAGTGAAATTCATAAAATATAAAATACCAACTTAAATACCTTCCCAAATTTACAAAATTTAAAAACTATTTAATTTTTTCTCAATTAAAATTTTTATGTTCAATAAATATTAAATTTTCATGATATACGTATAAAAATACAAAAAGTTTCAAATTTAAATATATAAGATATATAATACAAATTTAAATTATATCGTTATTGGAAATTTGACTTAATTTGATTTTTAATTGAAAGTTATTATGAACTACTCGTTTCAAAGTTCCAGAAATTTGTAATATAAATATATATATACAAAAATATCAATATTTTTTAATTAAAGAATGTATATTTAATATTTTCTATTATTTAATTAATATTGTACTCTTAAGAAAAATTAATTAAAATAATTAAAAGTACATAAAAATTAATTTAAAAAATTAGTTTGTTAAGTTTAAAATTATAGATTTAAAAACAATTCCACTGTATTATATAATTTTTATTTCATAGAAGAAACGATGAATATTTACGGACTTTTATATTGATCTACAATAATGCACGACTTACCTTACGTATCCTAGAAATTAAAATAGAAGCTATTCTAATAGTAATAATAATATATGCTATATTGACTAACATTTTGATTTTTCTTCCAAAATGAATTTTTTTTATGTTTCCAAGGATAAATTTTACTTGCCATATCTTCAAATTATTGATTTTAAAATATTTTTAACTTGTATATAAAAATAAGAATATATAAATCTTTCTTTTAGTAAACAAGAAAGTTGTTGCTTTTAATTGGTTTTTAAATATAATTAATAGCTTTTATTTTGCAGATATAATCATAAAGATCTCTATTGTCAGAATAAATTTCTATACAATAAATTTATAATGAATTTGAGCTTCTTAAAGCTTGTTGCTTATAATTTAAAGTCAAATAATTTTCTGGTATCACACAATAAATTGAATTATTCTCATTTCATTATCCCCATACTATACTATACAATAAATCTATGCAAAATAACACAGAATAAAGCAGCGTATAATATAAACAGAAAAAGCATTTTTAAAGCTATAAAATGGTAATGCGTTTTCGAAATACATTAATACCAATAGCAGGGACACTGTATTATGTAACATTAAAAAAATAATATTTAAAAAAAATTATATTATTATGGATTGAAATTTTACTCAAAAAATTATCTTAATATAGTTTGTTCTGAATGTAATTATATCTATCGCAAAATCATGCGTTATTTTAAATGATGAACAATACAAAGCAATTAAAAATTTGAAAAGTGGCATAAAAACTTTTAATACACACCCTATTTCGTTGGCTGGCTGATTATTATTATTGGCCGATCCATCATTCACGTTGTTGTTAATCGTGTTGGAATCATTAGTCTGTTGTAGCGATTGACATGTATTCAATAAAGAACTCCACTGCCTCATCACTTCCTCACCTTGGGCTTCTAATTCGGACAGAATTGTAGCATTATCCATATCTTGCAGTGGCTTGCTCGTCTCCACTCTAAAATACATAATGGTACTTAATAATTCTACTATAATAATAATTCTAAATCTATTTTAATAATAATAATAATTCTACTTTTGTAAATTCCACTTATAAATGTAATAATTTTCTAATAAATGTAATGAGTAGAGTCATCATATACAGAGTGCATCATCTTACATTTCTACAAGAATTAATTCATAACATTCATGAAAATAACATAAAGACATGTTTTAATAACAAGCTATTTGTTTCAATAGATCAAACAAGATTATTAACAATTTGCTACAAAAACAATATAAAAAGAATTTATAATATTATTATTGTACAATTGCTACATTGGCTTTCTTATAGATTGATATCGTTTCCATAAATCAATGATTTCCTGTCATATTTTCTTACATTATTAATAATAACAGAATCACTGAAAATATACAAGTAGATGAGACACTCTATATGTAAAACTTTATAAATGTAAGCAATATATACAGAATAAAATACCAACCGATGTTGATTTTCTTCGTAAGAGCTCGCATCGCTCTGTTCATAATCCAATATCAAATCATCAGAAGCAATAGATTCACAAGGAGATAAAGTGTCGACACTGCCAGCTCGACTTATTCGTTTGACGTGATGAGGACTATTAGTTGCATGTTTTCCATGTCCCGCGCCTGAAAAAGATAACAACTTGTTAATATTTATTATATCGAGTGCAATTAAAGATAATAAAAATGATACATTTATTTAAAATAACTGAACTAAAATTGTATTAGATTATATTACTTATCGATAAATTACGTTCTAAATTATACACGTACTTTCAAAGATTACAAATATACAAGAAAATTATTATATTAAGTTATAAATGCATACAAATAATATTAAATTTATTAAATGTTCAATATTAAAAAGATGCAAGTTGAAAATGTTAATTTCTTTAAGGATAAAGAAAAATAGTAATAATAAAATAGAAAGAAGGATTAGTATGAAAAAATATTATAAAAGATACGTAAGTCGTAGTAAATTTGCAAAACAGAATAACAGTCCGAAATAAGCATATAGGTACAAAATTGACTTATATCACTTTTACATCAAACAGTTCAAACATTTACCTGTTTTAGGACTGGATTCGACCAGAGTGTGACTGTTCTCTGTGACAACTTGACTAGTCACAGCAGATTGCGTTTCGGCGCCAGCCCTCGAATTGTCGTCAAAAACAAGTCCTGGTTGATCAGCGATCTCGTCATCGAAATATTCTCTGCCCTCCGACAAACTTAGCGAATTCGAAGCATTCGTCGGCGTCCCAGGACTATCGTCGTCTATGCCAGTCCCAGATTGTTCCATCGCGTTCTCCTTTTTCGGAGTTTTCGTATCCGACTGAGTAATACTGGCTGTAAGACTGTCGAAAAGACTATCAACGGGCGAGGTCTCGTCGTCTATCAGGGTGGTCGAGGTAGCTGCGGCAGCGGCGAACGCAGGATCTTCGATGGTAAGAAGTACAGAGCGCAGAGTAGATTTTGGGAGCGTTCCAGACTTGGACATACTCGACGAACTTTGCATGTGTTGTACGGAGCTAGAGCGTTGACACTCGTCGCTCGAGCTTAGCGAATACTCATCAGCCATAGCTTCTCCGTGGCCGTATTCAGGATCATCGGAACTCGGCGGGCTGAAGTCTGACTTAATAGAAGGAATCTTCTCGGAATGTGATCTGTCTTTGTAAACTTTCTCCTCGCCTAATCCTTCGTCGTAACCCTCCGAAGAGGTAGTAGACATGGAGGTCGTAGATTCGGTATACCTATTGTCCTTATTCACGATCCTTTGATACTGCGTGGCTCTCTCTCGTACCAGCCCGGTGTTGGCTGTGGTGAAAGTTTTTGGCAAAGGTATAACAGATATCTCAGTAACCGTACTGTCGTCATCCCTAACATCCCTAACATCGAAACTTTTCCCGTTTACGACCATCCTTAAATTCCTAGGTCTACCTATACCGTGCCTTCTTGTTAACGATCCATCCGTATAATCCACGCCCCTCAAATCGCCGTCACCGGCGCAACCTTGCTGACTTCCGATACCAGAATCCTCCGTGCTCGAGCCCTCCTTCGAACTGGTCGAGCTCTTCGACGCCGCGGACACCTTTCTGCTTTGATTCGCCGCGGTTTTCGCGATCTTCGAGTTTGCATCGGTCATTCTAACGGCGTATTGAGGTAGAGGCAGATGACTCGCGTGCAAAGTATACCTGCCGATTGGCTCTGGAATGCCTGATACTCTGCGATTCGCATCCATATGCGTGATATTAGCATTATTGTACGAAACGGTAGCATGTACCGGCGATGATTTCACTTTTATCGGTTGCGTCACGCTCGGTACTTGAGCCACCCTGTGCGGTTGTTTCACGAAACCCTCTTGCTGCTGGTATTGTTGCAGCTTCTCCTGATTGTAATGGCTCACGCTGTGACTGCTGCAAATGTCGCTAACTTTGTTCGTGAATTTCGGCTGGGACTGCCGATATCCAAATCTATTCGTTCGAACGGCGATTCCACTGGATTCTTTCTTCGGTGGCGCGAGCCGCGGTGTCGATCGGCCAGACGACGAATTGTGGATCATGTTGCTGGTGTCATCGTCTATCCGTCTGCGATTTTGTTCTGGCCCGGCCGATTTCGATCGTGGATGGAGGAGGCTCGACTCGGTGGTATAGTTGGTTATCGGCATCGGTATGCCGGAGCCGGGTCTTCGTCGAAAACCGAAGGACATTGCGGTGCCGCGCGTATGCGAGCTACCACGTTTCGATGCGCCCTTATGCTCGTTCTGAAACATTAGCAAAGAAAAGCACTCGAGAGTAAGAACGTCAAGAATCTGGAGAATCTTTCGGCAACGCGTCGAGACTTTATGTCCTTTATACTTTCTTTCTCTGGGCGTTTAGAGATCGATAAAACGGACGTGCACGCCTTTTACGCAGCTGTTTACACCACAGACCACGTTATTTTTACTTGTTACAGCCTCGCAAGAAAATACTTACTTACTATGTTACGATATTAAAGGTAATGAGAAACGACGTACGATTACGAATTCATCTGAGATTCAAGGTCAAGTGACACCTTGGTTTTTCAATAATTATTATCTTTCGCTGTTACATACATTACGTTATGTTACGTGGTCGAATAAATGTAACAAGGCTACAAGAAATATGTGGACAGCAAAAGTGGATGGGTTGATAGTTAGAATTTCTATTTTAAGTAAATAGGATATACAATACAAAAGATTGGTCAACGTTAATCGATAGTTCACCTATTTTCCACGTAATACTTCCTGAAATAATCTTCTAATTGAAAACGCCAATATTTAATTCAATTTTGAAATAATTTTCATTCGTTTAAACACTCGTGTTGACAATACTTCGTGAATTTTAATCGTAAACTAAAATGCATATAAAATTTTAAAAATGAATAAACAAAGAAGTTTTAATTTTATATTTTTTTTATTTATAAAACATACATTTTATAAGATCTCTATCCCCTTGATATTACAGTGTTTTGTAAATTGACAAAATTAATATATTTTTGGTATAACAAGAACAAAATTCCTTACTTGCAGAATATTTCAATTTATATCAAGTAAATTGCCGTTCTCATTTTTAAATTGAATATGCATTTTTCAATCACGTACCTTCAACTGTACAATACTTTTTGCTTTTTATAAGTATATATTTTGATAAGTTTATAACCGTAATCAATTGTATCAGATATAAAACGCGTGGTATATTTTCTTTTTAAAAATGATTCACAATTTGATAACTATATAAATACGCATGATGTGTACTTTCTTTTTAAAAATGAATCACAATTTGATAACTAAACGCTAGCGATGAAGAAATAAATTTCGACACATAAGTACGTAAAGCATTAAAAATTAATGAATTAATGATGAATAACAATGCTACGATGTATTGATGATCACACGAACCAGGTAATGTCGCAGAGAAACTAAAAGTTCAAAAACACAAGGTAACCCGATTTAAACTCCAGAAATAGAGCAACTGCGTTCCCAAATCGACTTCTCTTTACATTTTGTATACTTGTTCTACATTGAGTTACGGAGTCTCGTTTAAATTTCTCCTAATTGTAGTAAAAGACATATGACGTATAAAATCTCGTCGACGTCCAATTCTTTTTCTACGCATCAAGAAAGATCACGTAGAAAAGTCGAATTAAAACATTCGACGATCCGAAAGAAATTTCTTACGTAATTAATTATACGAGTGTTACACTCGGTCAAGCGACATCGTAATTAATAATCGTTTTATTCGATTAAAATTTCGACACGTGGCTCTCACATGACTGCAATAAATCATTTTCTTTATCGTCCCTCTATCGTGATTGCTACGAAATCCTCTTGATTAGCAATTTAAAATCCAAACCTTCGCAGCACCGACTCCGCATCGGCAGCAGTACTTGCCATTTGTCATATTGTTTTGGCGCATGGATCTCGCAATGTGTCGTCATAAATGACACCAGTCTTCTTCGTATCGTTTTTTATCACCAAAATATCACTGCAGCAAGAGGGACCCAAATTCTACACAAAAGTGATCGAGAAGCACGATGTAAATGATGTCCCGTAGCATTCTTAGAGCAATACCCGGCAAAAGGAAAAGCGGTTACAGAGGGATAAGGGAGGAATATTCATCGCGCAAAGAGGTGGTCACGATGTTCGTTGCTGGTAGCCTAAATGCTACGGTTCAGGCGATGATCGATGGAAAACACATAGAAGGATGATGCATCCCTTACCGCAACACCGATTCCTTTCTCGTTCTCCAGGGAATCATCTTCGCACCTGGTGCCAGCAGACCGGTAATCCATGTCTTCGGGCCAGTGTCAGCCGGCTGTTAAGAAGACTGTATTACGATCGATCCCGGCGTCCAGCTTGCGAGAAGGTTACGTTTCGCCTCTTCTAAATCCGCAACGCCGTCATCCTGCACCGCTGTGCGTGAATATTTTTAACCGAGGGAGGCACGGAGCCGAAAGTGCCGGGCCAGTTTTTTCGGCTCGAACAAACCTTCCCGGTAATCTGTCACCTCTTTCGGATCCAGCACACGTTCAGTTTGTACGCGTTGTCGCCAAAAGACACGCGCACCAATACCTCGTTCGGCTCTCCCTTTTCTTTCTCTCTCTCTCTATCTATCTATCTATCTCTCTCTCGTTTTCTCTCTCTCTCTTTCCGTCCTCTCGCTTCGTCCTCACCGTCTATCAGTCCGTCACTCTCTTTCTCACCCCCGTTACACCACCCTCTCTTTCTTGCTTCTTCTTCACCCTCGCGCTCTTTTTTCGTCCAACATACCCGTTTCGTTCTTTCTGATTATTCGTCTCTATTCGACCTCGCTCGCTCACCACCAACCACGAGTACGCGGCTAGCAAAACGTGGAATCGATCGACGGAACTGCGCCGGCGTCGCGACGCCACCGCACACCGCCGTGCCACTCGCGTAGACTGCGAACGACTGGTGTCACGAATGCGCCCGCGCTCGCCTTTCGATGTGTTCCTATATCTTGAGTACGCTATTTGTCGGTCTCCCTCTATTCCCTTTTATACAGCAACGTGCATAACAAGCGGACTGCCGCGAATGTTAATACATTCTCGCGTGGCAAGGATCTCGACGTTTAATGCACCACGTTTCCATACGTGCCACCACCCCGCCAAGATGTTTCTGATTGATCGCTAATTGCATTGCAGGAGACAGCATTCTTGCAGAATTCGAGCCAAGATTTATTAGGCGAATTTTACGAATTACAAGTTACAGGGCTCTGATGCAACGAGTTTGGTAATTAATTGAGTTAAGATTTGTTGGGGAGTTTTGTAAATTGATGATCACGGGAGGAGATATGGCAGCTATGATTCAACGATTTAACTCATTAAGGACTAAACTATAATTTCCCATAATTTGCCAATATTATAATTTGAATTTCTTTGAATTTTATAAAATTATAGAATCTAAGTGGTGAATAAGGGGAACTATTAATAAATATTAAGCAAATTCTTGGAATTTTTTTTAATACATAATTTTTTTTTAACATAAATTGATTGAAAAAAATTGCAAATGAAATATTGGCCTCAAATTTTAACTTTAAATAGTTAAAAATAGGAGAATCTTTTTAGCCTCGTCAAAAGAATACGATGCTTCAATATTTATTTCATTATTCAAAAAACAAGATCTTTTTATTTTTACTTTTCAATTTATGAAGCTGACCTGCATGGCTTCTGAACTATTTCTTAAATCGTGAAGGAAATCTAAAAATACGTATCCAATTAAAGAACAGTTATAAACTTAATTGATAATAAATTTGCTCCCCTGTGAAGAATGAAAAATACAACTTATCATTTTCTTCCTCTAATTGCAAGCTAGCTGATATATATCTTATTTGATATAAAATTGTAAAAATGTAAGACCTCGTGTAACAATATAATCTACAACTTCTCACTCGTCAATACGCAATTAAAATTATTGTGCAAGAAAGCCCAGCTTTACGTTCGAATGATTTAGAAATGGTTACATTTATATTTTATCGATTAGGTGAATACTTCTTATACAATTTTGGGAAATCACAAGATTGAGGTATTTTTTTTTTCTTTCTTTAATTAATTTTAGTTTTGTTAATTTGATGCCTTTCTAAGTAAGTTTTTCTTCTTCTTTTTCAGTTGAACTATTTATAACATTTTACTGATTGCTCTAATACAGTTTGTTTCGTTTTCATTAAAAATCTCATCATTATATGTATCATACATAATTTATATATATCATATTCTTTTTTTATCTTTTATATGAATTACTATATTATATATATAATGTAATATTTTCATTTCAGTTTCTAATGAAAATTGAATCGGTTTTAGGAAATGTAGAAGTTCGCTTTAAATTTCAGACAGACTTGTCTAACCATTAATTAGTACTACGCCACACAATGAATTTAAATCTCTATTTTTAAATCAAATATTTAGAATAAGTGCATGTTCTTCTTAGTTTAGGTATCTATAAATATACTGCTTGTTTTTTTAGCAAGTAGTGCCCTACCTAATGGTAGACTCGTGTTTAAACATACACTCTTTTCAGGCAAATCAGAGTTTTGTTATTTTAATAAATATTACTCTATCTCTGCAAAATTGTCGTATTATATCTCAGTACATGTATCAATAGATTAATTTTTCCTTACAATAAGATATTAAATTCAAACAGAACCATAATTAGAGAAAGCAAATCAATCTGTGTACATATTTAATCGAGCTACGTTCTTCCAATCATTTGCGACCCATTTATACTTCTCTAAAATTAAAAATATTTTAAATTTAAATATACACAATTTTTCAATTAAGCTTCATGTTAAATATCTTATATAATGTAATTTGTCTATTTACTTGATATTTGCTTATTCAGCATTAGAAATTATGTGACTATTGAAATGATTCGACAGTTTGATTTTACAATCGCGTGCCATTTGTGAAGATGACTGTACATCTGCGTCTCTTTCGTACTCGTTTACGAGTACACGCGTGATTGCATGAACGCATACATTTTGACTTATGACGATATTGTGTGAAAGCATACACATCACGGAACACGCAACGAGCGGAAAATTAAATGTCAGACGAAGAGTTTGTATCTGTCACGTGTAACATATTAAGACGTTGTGTTTTTGATAATTAAGCTGAGCTCTTGAATGGTCCATTGAACGTACTACATACAACTACTCATATTCATTAATCACAAGATCTTTCATTCATAAGAAATAAAATTATATTATTGCATGCAAGATATATGTATATAATGTCTCAAAATTTTATTGTAACATAAAAGTATCAATATTTTAAAATATTAAAAATTTCAAACTTTCTTATATTTTATTTTTATTAAGGACGAAAAGTAAACAAATATTATCTTGTATTTTTCTATTTTGTAAATATAACATAATTTTACGTATCCGTTGTGTATCATAATTTATCGTTTCATTAGAAATAAAAAATAAATTAAGAATTCATATGTATATAATAGAATTATGTTGTAGAATTAAGAATTTAATAAATGATGAACATTTTTTAACAGAAATAAACAAAATATTTATATTCAAATTATTTTTGTATTTAATATTTAATCGAATTTCAATCTTTGTATTAAAACAAAAATTTTGTAAGATGATACTTAAACGAAAGATTTGTAAAATGTTTTATTCTCTGCACTTGAATAATCATTAAAATATTTTATATTCTGCTTTAAAATAAATGTCAACACATTTCATGGCAGTTTTTTCTTATCTATAAAGAACTACGCATTACTGGCGGTTTCCACTTACATTTCATATTACATGTTTATTGATATGTTAGATTGAGGACAGTTTGATCCAATATCTAATTTCTTATAATCTTTGCTTTATCCGTAAGAAATTATTAGAAATTATCGTTCTAACATACTTGCAGAACAACTTTCTTATCTTATCTTTTTCTCTTCTACTTTTACACTTTAAGAAAGCAAAAAATTTTTAATTTTTCTGATAAAATCTTATCTTTCTATTGTATAAACATTTTTTTATATTAATAACTATATTCGAATTATATATGATTTTAAAACAAATTATATAATATATGCGCACTCTTTATAATTAAGAATCGCTCTTATTATTTATAAATGCCCTTTGATACTATCGATTATATTTTCATAGCTATAGAATATATATTATGGGCGTGACTATAAACAAAAAATATATCATTATGTCTACAGAAATAATTATAGTCGTTTTGCTTGGAATATACTTGCATATATATTTTTAGTATATATATTGAAACTTAAACCTTGCTCTAGGGAGCAATGTACGCTGTATGGCACAGACACGAAAATGCGAATCGAGCGAGGCTCGGTATTATCACCAGCTCAAGTCGAAGAAGAGGATGTAAAGAGCATGTACCATGGAACTTCACACAATATCCCTTTCAGACAGTAGGATAAGCCCTTGCACATTCTTAACTAGAAGTCTCACTCAGTCTTGTGCTCTATACAGTCCTCTTTAGAGAACTAGTGCTACTACTTGAATGCTCTTCCCTCTAGTCTACCCTTTGCTCATTAATATTATAACTTCAACCCTCGGTCAAAGTTGCATGGTGAAAGAACTTCACCTCTCTTTCAATGAATATACTTGTACATTTAATAAAATTTTCATCCCATCTTAATCTAAATATTAACTTCGTGTAAATATTTGCTCTTATTAATCCCTGGTACCTCACTTCTGCTTTTACAATGAATTTTATAGTATAAAAACTATACCTTAGCAATATGTAGTAATGATAGCATACAAGGATGATCCAAAAATAATTAGCATCTTAAATATCTCTCTAAGAAAGGAGATACGGAAAAACTTTGTTAGCAGCCGTAATATGGCAATAATGATGAGTGTTAATTTTTATTGGGCCACTCTGTATAATAATCTGTATGACAGTAGTATACCAATAATTTAACAGTTCAATGAGAATATTAATTAATAAAAATATCATATTGAGACTCTAAATCAAAAGTTCTCATTTGTTGAAGGCAGAATAAATAATATTAAATAGTAAAAGTGTGACATCATTTTTTGACAATGATTATAATTAATATATAAGCATGAAATGTATAATTTATAACTAATGTATATAATTATATAAGTAATTATAATGTATATGTATATAATTTTATATAATTATAAATAACGTAAATGAATAATATTTACAAATAATATATAATTACAATTAAATCATAATAGATTTATATTTGGAATTTGCCTGTATAAATTACTATATTTTTAAAAAAGAGGGTATATTTCGAATTTAGAATAACAAATAATTGATAACTGAACTAAAAGTAAAGTATTTGATAGAAGTTTCGTTTCTTTCATTTTCCGAGATAAAAAGAGTGAAAAAAAAAACATGTTTCATTCGGATGACGCAGACTGTGCACACGAGAAGAGGGAACATTCTCGTTGAACTTGGCAAATGCAAAAAGATAACACTGACAATTAGCATGACGTAGATCAGATTCTTCTCTAACACTATCGTAAGAGCGATGAGTCATCACACTTTAACACGAATTTTTCTCTCTATTTTTCAATTTTCCTAGCCGCCGTTGTATATTACTTCACTGTGTCAGCATTTTGTAACATAGGTCAATTAGCTATACATCCACGTCAAACCCTCGTTATAAAAATATGTCAAAATATATAGAATGTACGTATTTTTATAGAATATAAATAATATTAATTATTTTTTATTTAAAAATAAATGCTGTTTGAACTAAAAGATAATACAAAATGAACATTCATTACAAATAATAATTTCAAAATGTTGATTACAAATGATTTAGAAATAAATGTTCTTTGTATTATAACAGTACATAATAGTACAGAATAGTATAACAAATAAAAATTTATTACGAATAATAATAGTAATCTTTTTATAATAAAACAAATTTCATTTTAGGTATAATTTTAACTCTATTCTTGTTTAAAT